GTCGTTACTCCAATGATTTAAAGCTTTCAAGGTTCTTCTACATTTTTTGGAGACGATATCAGGCTTGGACCCCGAAGCTGGTTTCCACATTTATTGTAGAGGATATCAAACACCTGCATGTGTTCAGTTTTTTCTTATGTTTGTGGTTTTTCTGGATTAATTCCTGGAGTAGCTGAATGAAAAAATAAATATTTTGAGCTAGATAGAGCTTTTTTGTTTAAAACTAATGTAGCGAAACAGTTCTGGGTTGATGTAGTTTCTGCTGCATATTTTTTTATCAATCAGATGCCTCTGTTATTTTACAAAAACAAATACCCTACAAAGTTTTATTTCCAACTAGCTCTCTTCCCCATAGAACCACTATATTTGAGTGTACTTATTTTATTCGTGACACTCGTCCACAAGTTTCTAAACTGGACCCTAATTCATTATGGTGTGTCTTTTTAAGATAATTGCGTTTGAAAAAAAAGGTATCGATATATTTTCTTTCTTAAAGTGGTACATGGTCTCTACTGATGTCACCTTTCATGAACAAACCCCACTCTTTAGTGACTTATCACAACATAAATTTTCACAATATTTTGATGAGTTGTTAATGTATTACACCATTAGTTCAACTCCACTTCCACCACTCGTGCCTCAACCTAGACCACCCACCGATCACCAATGTTTACTTAAGAGGATCTCGTCCCCCTAATCCTAGTCTGACATGAGCATCATCTTCTTCAGTGGATCTCTTTCCTTGTGACCTTGAGTTATCTATTGCTCTTTGAAGAGGTGAATGCCAACATGCCTATCCTATTTCCTCTTGGGTTAAATATGATTAGTTATTGTCCATTTTTTGCTCGTTTATTGTTTCCCTTGACTTTGTTGAGGTCACGAGATCTCTTCAGCAAGCCCTATCCCATTCTGAGTGCTGGATAACGATGTTTGATGAAATGAATGCCTTAACTGAAAATGGAGCTTGAGAACTAGCTGAATTACCCTTAGCAAGAAAACTGTTGGCTATAGATGGGTGTTTGCTGCTAAGTTTCACTCCGATGGATTTGCAGCTTGTCTTAAAGCTCGGTTTGTTGCTAAGGGCTATGCTCAAATTTATGCGGATTGACTGCTTAGACACATTCTCTTCGGTAGCTAAGTTGACCTCGGTTCACCTCTTCTAGTTCTTGGCTACAATGAATAATAGTCTCCTGCACTAGTTTGATGTGAAGTATGCCTTTCTGCATGGTGATCTTTTAGAGGAGGGTATACATGGACTTAGGTGGGTTTGGGAAAGTATGTCATCTTCGGAAGTTACTGTATGAATTGAAGCAAAGCCATTTAGCATGATTTGAAAAATTTAGTCAAGCAGTAGAAGAATTTGGGATTGACCATGTGGACACGTTGTCTTCTGCAGCTAAGTTGACTTCGATTATTCTCTTCTTGTTCTTGGCTACAATGAATAATTGCCTCCTGCACCAATTTGATGTGAAGTATGCCTTTTTTTGCATGATGATCTTTTAGAGAAGGATATTCGTTGGAGCAACCTATTGTGTTTGTTTCTTAGGGTGTTTGGGAAAGTATGTTGTCTTCGGAAGTCACTGTATGAATTGAAGCAAAGCCTCGATCATGATTTCAAAAATTTAGTCAAGCAGTAGAAGAGTTTGGTATGCGGAAGAGTAAAGGTGATCTCAATGTATTCTACAAGTAATAAATTTTTAGGATCATTCTGTTAGTAGTGTATGTTGATGACATTATTGTTACTGGAAACAATGTGCAAAGAATCTTATTATTTAATTTATTTCATCAAAATTAATTCAACACTAAAGATCCGAGCTTTTTGAAGTACTTCTTTCGAATTGATGTATCAAGGAGCAAGAGGGTATCTTTGTATCTCGACAGAAGTATGTGCTGGATTTATTAACAAAAACGAGAAAATTAGGGGTAAAACCATGCAGTACTCTAATGCTCCCCAATCAACAAATTACTAATGATGGAGAACCTTTTAATGATCCTAGACAATATAGAATGTTAGTACGAAAATTCAACTACCTCACAGTGACTCATCTAGACATTGCGTATTCAAACTACAAGTTAGTTCATTGCTTCTCCCACAGTCCATCATTTGTTAGCTCTGAACGTATACTATGTTACCTCAAAGGAGCTCCTAGAAAATGGATTCTATATCAGAACCATGGGCATAAAAATATTGAATGGTTCTCTGATGTAGATTGAGCAAGTTTCAAGATTGATCGGAGATCCATTACTGGACATTTTATTCTTGTTGGGGGTAATTTTATCTCATGGAAGAGTAAGAAACAAAATGTGTGTCACAATTCAGTGAAAAATCCGAGTATTAAGCAATGACATAAAGCTCAAGCTAATTGATACGGGTTTCCCAATTCATGTTTGAAATGTGTTTTATGACGATAATTTATGGCCCATCTGGTATATTGCTGAACTCAAAACCCTATTTTCACCTTATTATGTCAGTTCCTTTGAATCTATTGGGAATCAATTTGTTTGGAATGTCCTCTGTTTATTGCAGTAACTGAATACTTCCTTTAACTACGTGATATGGGATTTTGTGCACAGTGTCAAGTTTTAGAGAAGTTAGTATGAAACTCAAATAAATATTAAGATCAAAGACCTTATAATAACTCTTGATGGGTAATTATGTTTCTAAGTTAGATTAATGTAATAACTCTTGATGGGTAATTATGTTTCTAAGTTAGATTAATGTGTCTTGCTTCTCATTTTTCTTTATTTAACAACCATGTTTTGATTAACCTTCGTCAATATTATATTTTTTGTTGATTGGTTCTCTGTTATTCGTCGTATTGTTAGAAGAGATAAAATGTTAGTTTTATTTTATAATTGCTTATACAGTAGTTTAAACCTTTAGAAGACACTTGTTTCACATTAGATGATATATGGACTCTTACATGATGACATTTAAGTATTGGTAGACATAGGACTTCATAAAAATGTAATGCATATTATGACAAATGCAAATGAAAATATTTTATGTATATTTGAAAATAGGAGTTCACCCATTTATGTTATCAGTTAAGCACACTAATATATCTCCACATATTATTTTCCTGCCATCTCAGATAATAGAGAAATTTAGACTAACCCCTTCAATGTTAACGAGGAATGTATCGCTTAGGGATAAGTCTGTGCCTTTTCATCTCAAATAATAGTATACTTGTTATATTCCATGATGATTGGATAAGGTACATATCAACCCATGGTGAGTTATGTTATATTTTTATGTTGCTCGTGAGATGAATGTATAATTTAAGATATATAAAGTTCATTAGAAGTTAAAAATTTAGGTCTTTAAATGTATAGTTGGAATTAATATTCCAAAAGCTTATGCATTATGAAATTTTAGGTGTCATTAGCTATTAATTTGTTTAGATTATCACATATTTTTAATAACTTGTTAGGAAGGACCATCATACGTATTATATTTTTTTATTGAGTTACTATGATTTAGGAGTATAATGATTTCATTGGATTTTTTTAGATAGCTTATTATTTTTTTACTTAAATAAGTCATGTTTAATTGAGTGAAAGAAGATTAAATATATACCATAGATAGGGTAGCACCAGATTACGATTTGCTTTTTTATTTTTGTTTTGATTTTAGAATTTTATGGCTTTTTCATTATTGTTGGATTTAGATAAATTTTTGAGATAGATGGATTTAAATTTATAAGAATTCATAGATAATAGTTGGAATCTAATCATTATTCGATCGCTTGTTACCGCTTTAAAAATTTCAAACTTTCTGGCCAGGCTGTGACAATCATCATCTTTATCCTTTATTTTAAAGCAAAAAATTATAATAAAAAAATATGACATATATATAGAAATGACACTTGACAATAATTTCTAGATAAAAAGTATACATGACAGCATACAGAAGCTAGAAGAGGCTGGGTGGTGCTGTGTTGGCCATTGCTCGAAGAAGAGATGGCGGGCGAGTGCAGCGCTCCAAGAGGTGCTCGTGTTTGAACTAATCACATAAAGTGGAAGGAGTCATGAGTTAACCAAATTAATCATCAGAAGTATTGAATTTAGGGTTAATGTTTAATTTTTAATGTTTTTCTGTTAATTTTAAATTTTTTATTTTTGGTGCAAATATTCTTGTTTTTTCCTTAAAGTTTGGACACCCTACATGATTTAATGACACGTTTAGGTATGTCACTTGGTCACATGGGTTCATATTTGGCATGTGTCGGCACCACATGTTGCTTTAGACAGAACTGTTGGTGCTTTATACCTCAATGTCATTGTGTGGCCCTAGAAGTTTGTTCAAGATGCTGATAGCTTTATTGAATTTTGGAGAATCGTTTTACGAGCCAATTTAATTCTAGCTCTTCTTGTTTAGGAATTCTTAGGACTTTTTTTTTTATTTTGTTAAATGATGCCTATCTAGTTGTGTGCAAAGAAATGTGGGCTGTATTTATCATTTTGTTTAAGCTGATATTCACACTGACTTTTAGATCTTTTTACGAATGTATGCTGCACATGATGCTTGAATGCATTTATTGCGTTTAGCTTTTAATGTAATACTAATTTCAAGCTGTTTGAATGAGGAACTATTTGTGATAAGACCAAATTGCATGCTCTCTTGATTTGGGTGGACGGAAAAGGAATTTGGACGAATTATTACTATTGATTTGTTAATTTGTGGCAATCATTTTATTCGATGTTTTAAATTTGCAAGATGAGTTCCATGTCTTCTTATTGCCCGACTTTACTGTCAATTTATTTTTGCTGAGTGCCAAATTGTTATATGCTCCATAGTAATTCTTGAATAGTTCTGACCACTTTAGAAAATGACACTGATATTTTCTGCATTGTTTTGTATCATTTCTCTTTTTTTAATTGCATTTTATTTTTCATTAATTATTAGATAATTTCTTTTACTGATTAAGTTATCTATTTGCGGATTATACGTCTTTTTGTATTTCTCTAAATAACTCATATATTTGATGTTTTGAAAGGTCAAGATGCAGCCTGTTGTGGATGAAGATAGAGGTTTGATATGGTAACTATCTTCTTTTCCTCCAGCTAGGATGCAAATAAGTTATTCTTATGAAGCTCCATTTATCATTAGGGTCTAAATTTCTATTTTGTGGAATTACATATACTGCAAGTATAGTGGATTTATTTAAAAATCATAGCATGAATGGTGAACTTCAAACATGAGTCAAGCTCGAAAGCAAAATGCATAGGAAGGGGTATATGGGAGCATAATTTAGAAGGAACTAGTAATTGGGTAGATGTGAATGGAGGGAGCTGTAGGCGGCTGTACTTATATATTTGAGAAAAGCTTCAAAGTCTATTGGTATTTGCCACTCTCTGCTAGTTGCGTGAAGATGTCCAAAACGTTGAACTGCGAGCTTTCCAAATTTTACTGAATGGTTGTAACTATATCTATTATTTTGGTTCCATATTGCTTTGATGTTTGTTTTGTGATATTTGTTATAGACTTTTTGCTTGTCCCTTTTGAAACAAAGATGGCAAATTGGTGCAGGACGTTTCCATTACAACTAGCATTGATCTCTAGTACCTTTCTTCCTTTTCTGCTGTCTATTTTGTTTGCTCCAGCTTTTTCGGCCTCAGAAAGGGTTATCACAACATTTTATTTCTAATCTTTGCTTCTTAGGCTTTACACAATTATTTGAATTGTTTAAATGCGCCTCGTCATTATTTTTGTGGAAAGTAATACTTATTTGTAAAAGTCTAATGGTGTGTATGTCTATTGCCCGATAAATCCCTGTGTTTACAATCTACAGGTGTGGATCGCATGACCACCATTTGTATGCTCTTGATTATAGAAGACAACTTTGTATTTCCATGATTTTATTTGGTGGTAGTATTTACGCTTCTCCTGCAATTGACAAGGTAAATATTTGGATAATATAGTGGTTTCAGTTCCTTCTCTCCTCATCTTATCTGAATTTGAGTTGGTTTAGATTGTTTACCTGATATTTCCATGTGGACTATTGTCACTACATTCTGGATATTCATTTTACATGTTATGTGGCTTCATAATTTGGGTTATCCGTTCATTTATTTTGATGCAAACATAGGTGTTTCCCTATTATTCATGGATTTGTGGAGCCATAGCGATTCTTAGAAAAATTATCTTGGTGAAATTTATTCCTCCTTTCACTGCGCATTTCATCATATTATGAAGTATTATGCTAGTATGACTTCATCCACAAAAGTTATTGATATTGTTTTTGTGCTCCTAGAAGGTATTTAGGATGCGGATTTCGTGAAGAGATAATTGTGGAATAGCGAGGATGCGGATTTCGTGAAGAGATAATTGTGGAATAGTGAGGGAAGGCTAATGTTTATGGTTGACGGTATTCAGAAGGGATTGCAGGGATAATTCTCTCTCGGATTGTAGGTTCAATATTGTCGGCAGCGATCCTAGCTTAAATCAGATATTTGGATGGTGAAAACGGTGAGATATAGTCAGCAAGAAGGTTCGACCATTTGTTCTAAACTAAGATACAAATACACTTGTAAAAGGAAGATGGTACAACACTTTGAAAAACATAAATTACTTCAAAAGGGATTATTTCAAAGGGTAGAAATCTGTGAAAATTGTCTCAAATTCATCGAACGATAAAACTGAAAATCCAAAACCCTAATACAATATATATAAAAGTATTTTGATGGAAAATACGTAATTATAAAGTAAAAAATAGGAAAGCCATAAATGAAAGAAAATGATAAAAACTTGAGGAGAATAAAAAAGAAAAGGGTAAAACTTCTCGAACGATTGCGCTCTCGCGATTGTTGAAACTGCAGATTGCTGAACCTTAGAAGTCACGATCATGAGATTCTTGAATTTGCGGGGAAAAAGCGAGTCACATGTCAATCTTGTTGGCTAGGAGAGGTTTTTTCTTCTTCTCTAGAAGGACTTGGATCCTACTATCAAATTTTTTTTCTCACAATGCATCTGAGAAGATTTCCAATGCTGTGGCTCACCCTAATCATCTGTCGGTGGATGTACTGTTGAACTGAATTGGAACTTAGTCCTCAACTTTCTCCATAACATCTTTTTGAAATTGCTAAAAAAACTTCTCATTCTTATTTAAAGTCGTTGTCGGTCATCAAATTGGAATTTGTCAGTTGTTTTAAAAATAATTTAAATTTAATAGTATATGATATTATTTTTGAAAAATAGTATCTTAATTTTGAAAAATGAGATCAGATGGATCTCATATATTTAATAGTTTAAGTAACCGAACAAATATTACAAATAATACATCACCTTGAAAGTTAAACATATCACTTGACAACGGGCTTGATTATTTTTATAAACTAAAGTATTTATGATATTTGTTTAGTCTGCGAAATCTTTTTTATGTGGCCGACAATTCCTTTATCTAATATAAAGATTAGATAGGGTTTATTTTAACTGTGTTACTAATTATCTATAATTTATCTAATATAAAGATTAGATAGAGTTTATTTTAACTGTGTTACTAATTCTCTATACATGCAAGCCCCTATAGTTAATTACATCATAGGCAACCAAAGTCACTTAAGAAAACTCTCGATTAAGAAAAGGAGTTTCGTCTTCAAGAATTCAACATTTAGGTTTCTATGATTGCTTGTAGGAAAGCCAAATGGGAATGACTAATTGTGGAACACTTATTTTCATAATCTAATGGAATGAAAAGGTAGGGGATGTCATAAATTTTGAGGCAGACCTCAACGACTTCTCGGACTATCCTATTGTTTGGTTTTATGTTCTGAAAGAGAAATTATAATGTTTGAATCCTACAATTTATTTTAGAACTTAGACTTACATTCACATGATATCTGATCGTACAAATAACCTAGAAAAATAAGAGGATTTATCTCGTACCGAACAACAATCTCAGAATCATAAAAGAGTTAAGGCTTATAATGCAAAACATAATTATGTATGCCTAAAAGATAGAGTGAGGATTTACGTCGTGCTAGGTGAACTACCCCGTAGTCTTATGGATTACGTTATTTAATTCCAAGTAAGGTTTTGTTGAAGTAGATCTGTTTCTTTGTCGAGTCTTGATCGTCGTACGAGGTTGTTGTTCGTCTGTTTGCTTCCTTCTCTTGTCCTCTAAAAGGATTGCTCTGAGCTCTTTATTGTAGCTGCTTCAAGTTTAGAGTCTATGTGTGAACATGTGTTATTGTTGGGTCAATGGCCTGCCTTAGGGTATCTCATAAATCGGTGTCCTAGTGTTCTCTACCTTAGGGGCTTTGCAGGTATTATAAATAAATAATGCATAAGTAAAAGGAACAATAAAGACGCAGTAAAGTACAGTAAAATAAAATAAACGTGCGTATCTGGGATTCCTGCCGCTGCTGCAAAAGGGGGCTTGTATTACAGATAATACATGTTAATATTGCAAAGAATTAAGCATATGTTTAAGTAAAGAATCAAGTGACACATATATGAAGAATCAAAGTGAGCCATAAGAATTCATGTTCGGGGTAAGCTCAGAATGAGTACCCGGAGGGGCCCTAACAAAAGATTTAGCACCATGTATGTGAGATTCAAGACAGGATAAAGGGCTACCAGTCTGGCAAACACAGAAGAGTAACTCTCGGCCCGATTTATTTGACCGTCCCTTGAACTTCCAAAAGAGTTTTTTTATTATGCATTCAATTATTTTGTTTTAGCACACAAACAAGTTTTGATTTGTCATATACTTAAGTTTTTTTATTTAACATGCAAAATATAAGTTTTGTTAGAAAAATATGTTATATTATATGTTGCATGCATCAGACAATTCATGAGCCAGTCACATTGTTGAGCTAGAGCTACTAGTAGTCTATGTGAACAAGTGGTAATTCTTTACTAAATGTTAGAAGACAGTAATGCAAATCCTTAACTCTCCTGTAATCCTCGAGTCAGGATTGCGCAAAACTTCACACATATCTAAATGACTTTTCCATCACCGCCCTTAAGCCCCAAATCATCCAACTTATAACCCTACTTGATGATTCATATATCACTACGCTATGCGTACTTATATTTGAATATAAACACATATACTGAATCATTGAGCTAGGAAAAGAAAAGAAAAAGAAAGAAATCAAACCAAAACGGCATGCAAACATCTTCCAAAAACAACATTTATTTTTCTCCAACAATCAACAAGTGCACGTGGCAAAGAAACACTTATATGTTTCCAAAAATCAATGAACCTATATGACAAAAACATCACTTATATGCCCCCAAAATGAGCAAGAAAACTAGGCCAGAACAACACCCATGCGCCTCCCAAAATCAGCGAGAAAATTGAGCCAAAACAACACTTAAACCTTTCCAAATCAACATTTTGATCTCCTAAAAAAAAATAAACAAATCAGCCCAGAAGGTAGCATTTAAACCCCTCCGAAACAGTGGATATACAGCCCAAAACAACACTTAAACCCACTCCAAAACAGTGAACTTGCAGTCCAAAAAATAGCGCTTAATACCTCCCAAACATCACATATTCATGCACAAAATCTGCATTTAAAAGCCCAGAAGACGGTATTTAAAGGCTCCAAACAGCACATACTCGAGCCTAAATAAAAAAACGCACTTGAATCCGTCCCAAAAGCAACAAGGGAGCGGAACAAAACAACAAGGAGGCTGAGAAAAACAGCAAGGCCTCAAAACATTCAGACTTTCATGAATAAAGCACCAAAATTTTCAAACTCTTGCAAATAACACCATGGAAGTTTCCAGATTTTTCTTAAAAAAGTAAAGCATGAGAACTTTCAGATATTTTTTTTTAAACCTTTACATTGATAACATCCAAATCCTTCATAGCATGTCAAATAAGTCATCCATGTAGCCTTTCACAACTAGCTAAAGTAGTATAGATATAAATGAATTGGAGCTCAGTTTTGTGGATATGAATGCTCGAAGAATAATGTGACTTCACTTAAAACAGATTTTTAGCATGAAGTTTAAAACAATCAAGGCAAACAAAACCTACAACGTAGCTAAAATTCTCATGTTCCAATTCAATCTCTTATGGTCTTTACACATAAACAAATGAACCAAGTCTCCGTACAAGCAAGAAGTCCAGAGCGAGCATGATAATAATCCATGTAAAGCAAATGCACGAATGCTGAATTCCTGTGCAACATTTCCATTTCATTTCATTTTTTTTTTTTTTGTGAAAACAAAATGAAAAAAAAAAACAGATAGGTTTAACTTGATGGCAACAGAGAAGAAGAGGAGGAAAGGGACCTACCAGGCTCCAACGGGGCTCAAGCACATAAGGCAAACCGGCTGAAGGAGGTCCAACAACAACAACCCACTTCAACCACTTTTTAACAACAACCCACCGAAATTTTTCAACAACCATCATTCTTCTCCCCCAAAGGGTTTTTATAGCCAAAAGGGAGGAAGAAAAATAACAGTAGAAGCCCTGATAGGGCTCTTGGGTCAAGAGGAGAAAGGGGTTATTCTACCGAGCCAAACTTTCGGGAAAGATGGGATTTCCTTTCCCATCGAATGCTCTGGAGAGGCAAGCTCGAAGGGTGAATCCCTACCAAAATAGGAAGTCCACTCTTTAGGGAGCTTGCTGTCCCGAGGAATGCAGCAGATACAGGCTTCAGGAAGGACTTTGGGAAGAGAGTGAAAAGTCAACTGTACCATGCCGTGTGTTTATAACTTAAATCTAAAGCGTTCACATCTTTTAATAATTTGATGTCTAATACAGTGAGAAAATTTTATATTGCTCTTACAGAGGTACTTGAATGGCTATGCGTATCTTTTAGTGATAGGTTATATGATCGACAGTTTTGGAGTTGCAAAACATCACTCATGCGCGTTTTTTAGGAGAGGGGACATAGTCAACTTTATATATATATATATATATATATATATATATATATAT